AAGAGGTTGAAGTGGACCGGTTCTATGAAGACATACAACACATCATAGAACTAACATCAAAAAATGTCATCATCATAGGGGACTGGAATGCTAAAGTAGGAAGTCAAAAGGGTAACCGGAATAACAGACAAGTTTGGCCTTTGAAAGCAAAATGAAGCAGGGCAAAGGTTAACAGAGTTTTGTGAAGAGAACACACTGGTCATAGCGAACACCCTTTTCCAACAATCTAAGAGGCAACTCTACACATGGACATCATCAGATGGGCAACACCGAAATCAGATTGACTATATAATTTGCAGTCAAAGATGGAGAAGTTCTATCCAGTCAGTAAAAACAAGACCTGGAGCTGACTGTGGTTCAGATCATGAGCTACTCATTGCAAAATTCAGGCTTAAACTGAAGAAAATTGGGAAAACCACTCAGGTTTGACCTAGATCGCATCCCTGATGAATATACAGTAGAGGTGAAGAATAGATTCAAGGGTGACTCCCTATAACGTCTGTCAATCCAAGAAACTATTCCTTGGGGTTTCCTGTTGAATATTCTGTTTGGGGGTGTAATGCTTTGATTCCTGTTTCCCCACCTACTTTTGTATGGCAGTTGTTAGAGATTTATGCCAGAGGCATTTTATGATTCTGAACACAATAAATATATGTTCACTTTGACACATAGCCAGGCAAGGGTAGTAGTGGGAGTTTCATGTCTAAATATTGTGCTCTTTCACAGGCCTGTTCTTATGGCAATCTAAGCCTTGTTTTGCACTTCTGATTCATTCTCAGCTGCTGAAGCTAGTAGAACCCAAAGAAGGAAATGGTTGGGCTTTACTGATCGATTTGCACAATGTAGATTCATAGGAAATCTTCACTTTGAGAGTGAGAATGTATCCCTGTGATGGGATATAGAATGTTACATGGCTGTTCTGTATCTGCTCTTTAGCATTCACTGGAGACAGTGCCTTGAAAATGTGATGATGGCAGTGAGCATGTGAGTCAGACATACATCTTCCATAAAAACGGTGACTTTGTAGTCAGCTAGAGAAAATGTAAGGGGTATTTTGTTTCTGGGGAGATACTGCAAAACAACACAATTTTTGACCGTCTGAGGCAGGAGAAATTGGTCATTTACTGGAAATTGGTCATTTACTGAAAATATTTCCACGTCTCCCATCATCCTCACCTATTTGTTTCTGCTGTAGTTTTATTTCTCCCAAGTGCCTCGTTGAGCTCCATCACTTGCTTGACCAAGGCCTGTAAGTACTACTATGAAGGAGCTTCTTCTCTGATTTCTGTGCCAGTAGTATATATGCAGGGTCACTGGCTGGCTTCACTCATGGCAGAGTTAAGATGGAGAAGGAGGAACTAAGCTAGAACCAAGGCCTGCAGGAGATAAAAGTCAGGGCTGGGGGAGCAGCTGCTTATTCGTCACTGCCTTCTGGGTACGTCCTGCTGA